AGAGAGAGAGAGAGGGAGAGGGAGCTCACACCGACTAACAGCACAGGACAGAGGCGTAGCGTGAGAGTGCAGGGGAAGGGGGCCACCCCCGACCCCAGACGCCCGGCAAGCAAGCAAGCAACGGAGCTTCCAAAACCCCGGCCCGCAAGGATAACCCGAGAAAGACAGAGAGATTTTGGTTCAAGAGTGGTTCAAACCCCCCAGCCCAAGAGAGTCTGTTAGCGTTCGGTGCCTAAACCCGGACGCACCGAGGGAAGGCCGTTGCAGCGAGAGAGACAGCCATTCGTGATCCAGGGAACGATCGAAGCCTTACGCTTGACCAAGTTCTTCGCTTTGACGGGGGACATCGTAAAGCTGTTCGGTGGCCTTGCGCTGCTCCTTCGGGACTTTGACAAACCTCCACGTCTGGGGGATCGGCGGCCCTTCGTGGGTAGATGGAATACGTCATCGTTCAGTACTTGTTGCACGTCGCTGGGTGAAGGATGCCATCTACTACCTGACTGAAGCTGTTGGAAGCCATGACGGACCGACACTGAGCCATGGAACAGAGCGTGTGACAAGTGAGTGACAAGCAGGCATCTGTGCTGCGAAGGCTGGAACTCCCCGAGGGAAGATTTGCTAAGGCTGACTTCCAGCTCTCCAGCACTCGCACCTCGGACAGCGATGGGGGAGCTCAGAAGCCCGCCCTCGCGGCGGAGGATGGGACGCTGATCAACACCACGAAGAAACACGGTGCCTCGTCAAAAAGCACTTCCTGCAAGAGCTCAACGTGGATTTGGACACCTCCGATGCCTTTTGTTCCAGGCCTTCGCAGAGGATTTGCAATCGTCTCCCTAGTCCGGCAACAGGGGAAAGCGAGTCTGAGTTGCAAACCAGGTTCACTGTGTCCTTCGAACAGCTCGAGATGCAAAGCTTGTGACCGGGCAGCGACCTGAGGGGGGAACAGGTACCTCTTCGCCACAATGAGCCAGAAAGCCCAATTCACGGGGCAGGTGAGGCGCTTGATCATCGAAGAAGGAGGAGATCCTCGGCGCATCGAGGTCGAGTTCGGCACAGCCAACATATGGTACAACAGCATCAAATTCGGCTCGGGGGTCACCACGGCACCTGAAGGCCGCGATTGAGAAGGCTGGATGGATGCACCTCGGCACGCTTGCCCTGCAGATCGGAGGCTCCGAGGAATCTGTTGTTTTTATGGTTGGGCCTTCGGCCGGGGGGCCTTGACAGCCTCCCATGACCAGGAGGGAGAGAGAAAGAGAGAGCGACTTGTGGGTCTCTCAGACAAACTGGAGCGCGCCGTAGAGGGGTAGGCCTTCGGGCCAGGGGGCTTTGGCCCTCACACCCCAAGCAAGCAAGCAAGCAAGAGAGACTTGTGGCTCAAGTCAACCCGCTCGCTCTTTTTGGGGGCACTCGAGGGCGGCCCTTTGGGGCTGCTGGCTCGTCCCTCCGAGTGGGGGGGGGTTGAGTCTTCATACCTGTCGCCACGTTGCTTCACAGGCCCGACGCAGGTCCATAGGTCTGAGCAATACCCAAGGGGGGGCGAGTCCGAACTACTATCTTTCTGTGGGCGAACTGGCAACTGCAAGAGCTTCTCCCTGCAGATCCTACCGGAGGAGGGGACGGTCCTCTTCACCGACCACTTCCTTGACTTTACCGCTACGCCGTTCTCAAGGTACCTCCAAGCTGGGAGGGGGACTCGAACCAGCCAGAGATCGTGGACATAGTGAAGTCCAACCTACGGGGGGAATGGAGAAGAGATGCAGAGGAAACTTTTTCGACAAGCTCGGCGAATCCGCAGAAATGTCTGTAAGGGCAGCCCAGCCAGCACGAGCACGGCAACCACAACAGCAAGGATAGCTTCAACACCTACAAAGACCGGGGGAGCCGTGAATGGCACGCAGCCGTGAGAGAAGGGAGACTTGACAAGCAACCGACAGGAGTGAACAAAGGGGGGATTTGCGACCCCACAAGTGCATTTGGTCTACTTGCGGACGATCTACACCTTTTACCTTGATGGAGACCACCGTGCGTAAAAAGTCCTGAGCAGCAGCCTTCTGAGGGGGTTTTAGAATGTTTTAGATGAGTTGTAAAGGTGTGAACCTTTTACGGGCGTATTCGCCCTCCTCCGTTCAACCCCATGCAAAGGGCCATATCGCCCACAATCCCGGCGTCTTTTAGCTCACCTTTGATACTCGTAACCTCGTCTGGCCAACGGGGAATTCGAGGGACTGCCAAGGCCGTAATTAACACGTCGCTCAAATCAGTGACAAACTTCAGGCACCTGCTCAACGCAGCGCGGGGGAACCGCATGGTTTTGCTTTGCAGCCCAGTCCTTTTGAGCTCCCCCAGCCGATGCTTAGGTCCCTGCCTTAGTATTTCATATCCAGTGAGTACTTTTTGTCATTTGAATCGCTGTTGTTATCAGCCGGGGAAGCCCACCTCTTGGAAGCCTGCCCAAACACATCAGCTCTCATATTATTTGTCGTTGCCTTAGTCAAAACGGGGGGGAGTTCAAAACCCTGCCGTGGACCGCAGGTGCGCGCTCGCGCGCGAGGGGGGGTGTCCGCCCCTTCCCTCTTGCCTGGTAGAAAGAGAGCGCGAGACTTTTGTATTATGGCTTCTGAGCATTTCAGAGGAGGTGCGCTTGGGTCCACATCTCCGCATATCTTCTTAGCCTGTGTCTCCCCTTCTTGGCTTTTATGCTGAGGCAGCTATTGGCGGTGCTTCCACCGCAGTCCTCACCGCTGCTTCCACAAAGACTACGGCCGCTCTTGGAGGAGCCCTTGAGCGTCTTCAGATGCAAGGGAAGCGTTGCTGTTTCGCCATGCCAGGACAGGCAGTCCCCCATCGCCGACTTCTACCCCCTGCACTTCGAGTCTGGAGCTTTGCCCTGCCCCACCGGCCTAGAGCTCACAGCATTTCACAGCCTTCTGCCGAGGACCGACTTGAAAGAAGGAGACAAAGAGTGGCAGGCACACATCACAGCAAAGGAGTGCGCTTGCAGACTCATCCCTGTGTCACTGCGCAGGCCATCGTGTTGCTGCCGTTTGTGGATGAAGAACGCCTCCGCAAGGAGTGGAGTCAGAGTGAGTGTCTCTTCTGTCGCTGAGCACTTGCTTACCTGCTGCCTGCATCATTGCTCTTGCAGAGGCCCTCTTCTCTGTCCTTCAGGCAGGATGCCCCCGGCAAGGTAATCTGCCGCACACGCGAAAGCCAGCAGTCCCATGCTGAGGAGACGGATCTGTCAAAGTCCAAGCCGGCACAAGCTGTCGTGGTCGAGGATCCGACTAATCAAGCTCTTCTGCTCAATTGCCTTTCAAGCGTGTGTCATTCTCTTGCATGGCACGGGCATAGAAGGCCAGTACGTGTCCTTCATGAATTAAACGGCAGTGTGTTGCATCGTGTTGAAGGTTTGTGTCTGAATCAAGACCTGTGAGGAGAGTGGTTTACGCAGCTGGAACTTTGCAGCATCGGAATCATTGCCCCAAAGCAGAGCGTGCAAGCGACACAGCTTACCGAGAGAGATGCGAGCCGAGGGAGAAGGAATGTTGTGAGAGCCCTCCGAATCGGAAACTGAGGCCGAGATGCCGAGGGAGTTCCACTTCAATTTGCTGAGGCCCGAACGCGACATCGCGACATGAGTCGAACTTGAATTCAAGCTCGCAGTTTGCTCAAAAACCTGCTTTCTCACCAAGGCAGCCGCCGCTGTCCTCCTCCTTGCCACAGAGACAGCGCGCAAAGGCGGTAAAGGTGCCCCGAAGGGCCGCGATCTCAGCTCCAGCTCAAACAGAATCATGACAAAACTCTGAGTGTCCATGCCTCTTTATCGCGCTCCGACAGCCTCGGTTCAGTCAGCTGAGGGAAGGGTAAGGGAAAGCGCGGGCAGAACGGCCCGTGGCCAAGCCCTGACATCGGCAGGGTCCAGTTGTCAGGGTGCGGATTGCTGGTAGGCTCCGCCATGAATCGAGCTGAGAAGGATGCAAAGGACGAGGCCAGAGCCTTGAATCGATGTCGACGCCCAGTGTGAAGTCGGGGCAACTGCAGAGCCTCTTTTGAAAGCTTCTGAGGGAAGGGATCTGTGCTGAGCCAGTCCGGTTATGGACAGGTGGATGCAGGAGTGATTTCTGGAGTAGAGAATCTTGGCCGCAACTGTCGCTGCTTGTGAGTGGGTGACTTGACTCAAAATTCCATGTGGGGCACAGGAGAGCATCTGTGCACAATGGTTTGGCTGCAGCAGCTGCATCTCTACTGGCCCGGATGTCTTGTACGCCTGGCTTCGTTAGCAGTAGTTTCCCAGCTGTCGTTGTGATGTTGGCTGCAGTCCGGTAATCATGATCGAGGGAACGAGAGAGCGTGGCAGAGAGACTGGGAGGGGGCCACATGCCATACTTGCCCGAAAGCCAGCGCGCAGACTCGCGCAAGGGCCGGGTTTCCCCTCCCCTTTGACTTTGGTGAGGAAGAGACCGGGAACAAGGTTTGGGGTTTTGGAGTTTAGGGTTTTGGGCCAGCTTGCGCGCATGCTGGCAAGAGAAAACGCGGAGACGCTCAAGTCTCAGCCGAAGCTGTCAGGAGACGTTAGGGCTGTTAAGGCTTGCGGAGGATGGCCGAATCGGCGCAGAGTGCTCGGCCAGGCTGTTTTGGCAGGCAGGGCAACAGGGCTCTTTCGCCCTCTGAAGGCTTGCAGCGCAGATCTGGCGAATCTAGGCATGTTCAAGCACTGTCGACGTGTTAAAGATTGCCAACAGCACCAATCAAGTGGATGGGGGAACCAGTGAAAGCTTGAACACGCACGGACTTTGAGAGTCTACGGCTTGTGGCCCCAACCTATAGGTCAGCTTTTCATCCTGTACTGTACCTGTAGGGCCTGAGCCAGGTCATGACCAGCAGTGCAGCGTTGCTTGATTCGGTGAGCCGCGAGTGAGTTAACGAAAGCTCGGACGGGATTGCGCCAAGCGCAAGGGCAATTTCTAGATTGATACTTATTGGCGTGCAATGTATGTGGCAGGAAGCTGTGAGATTTTCGCAAGAAATTGCTTCAGCCCCTGGTCCAGTTGATTCTTCAGTGCCCCGTCCTATGGACCTATGGATGCATGGTGCATTCGAGGCTCCGTAAGCGAGTTGCCGCAAGATTAAACAGTCGTCACGATGTGCAACGGTTTTACGAAACGAACCCGTGGGAAGAACTGGAAGAAGCACTTGCTCTGTCACTTTGGTCTTCCTCTTCATGAAAGGTGTTTGTGTTCCACTGCTGATCCTCATTCGGCATTGAAGTACAGCATCAAGCTGAGATGCCATATCGCAGTGTGCTGTATGAGTTTCTGATTTTGCAACCTGTGACTAGAAATACGTGTCGAATCTGGATCCCCGCCTCTCGCACCATCATGTCCTGGCTCTGCTACCGCTGTGAAGAGATTACTTGATTGAATGATGTGCAGTATCAGGCGTATAATGTGTTCTTATTTGCAGTGGCCTCTTCACTTCATTCGCTTCCAAGCAGTTCCCGGCAACTGGTAGTCTCGGAACAGGGCTTGTACATCACAAAATTCGGTCATTGTGATTGATGCTGCAACAGGTCCTTCGTTTAGTGAACTCGGACGGTTTAGCTACTAGCTTCGAAGAACTTCGGAAGGGCTATCAACGAAACGGCCTCGAAGGGGATACTCCAGCCTAAGTTGTCAAAGCGCTGGAAGGTGATCCAGTGCATGCCAACTACTACCACCCGACTGTGTCTTTCAAAGTATCGCAGCAAACCTTTGCATCACTGCTAAAGGAACGCATTTTGGAAACTGGTGTAAGAAGCCCAGTTTGGTTTTCGAAGAATCACTGTGTGGAAATGCATCTTCCCGCTTTAAGGAAGATTCCGAAGGCCTGTGTGCAACGAAGCGATTACATGAGACTCTTGGCGCTCGATGCATGGATTTGATTCGCCGCACCTGTTTGGTATTCGAGCCTTTTGTTGCACATGACTTCGGCCATAATGCAGCACCGAATTCCTATATGTAGTCGGCCCAGGAGAACAAATTGAATACAAAACTGCATTCCCACTCCAACCGGGCATCGAGACGAAACCCGGCATGAATACTGGCACGGTGCCGCCGTCAGCCACACTCCTCCCCACCTGTCACCCGAAGTTGATTCATGGCTTGAGCTGCTTTTTGCTTTCTGCAGCCGAGCGTCGATGCTCGAATGGTTTCCATAACCGCTGCCTACGAAGCATCACCGGCATTTCCTCTTCTTTGCTTTCACGAGTTCCGAATTCTGTCGCACAGCATCGGGCAAACTGCATTGCTGCCTGTGACATGTTTGTACGCTGCCAGCTTCTTTTTTTTTCGGAAGGTCTTGAGAAGTCCCCCTTTCCTACTTGGAGCCCCGCAGCCTGCAACCAGCAGGTATATTGGGAGAGTTGCTCGATCGAGGCAGGAATCGAATGTCTACCTGCCCGCAACCCGGCATATCAAGCTCTCGGAAGCCACTCGCTGCCGTTCGCTCCGTCCCTTTGCAAACGGAAACACGCGCTGCGAAACATGTGTCGAGCGAAGAACAAAAAGCTTGAAGTCTTCCTGCAGCCTTCTGCAGCCTTGGAGTGCTCTGTCAATTGGGGCTGCGAGCTAGTTGGGACTTTCCCCGGAATCTGCATAGGGAGCCGTCGGTCTCTCTGCCAACCAGCATCCCATAGTGTAGTGGATATTAAAGCAACCGCTGAGCTGAAAAAGGCTCCACAGCGCGACATGCTTGTACAGAAATTCTCCACGGCTCGCCGTGCCCATGGCTTTCACCAAGAGAATGCTTATGATCATATAGTTAATTACACACAAGGAAGATTTCCAATGTCAAAGCAGCCTAGGGTCCTAATGCCTTGTCCGAGTGAGCCAATTTACCCTCTTGGTCGTTGCTCCGGGCACTGTTGCGGGCAGAAGCCACGGCCATTCGACCTTTGTTTGTTTTGATTAGCAGTCGCAGGGCAGACAGCGACAGCCCACACCGCATCACGCACACACACACACGCACACACACACACACACACACACACACGCACGCATCACGGCTACTGCGTGCACGATCTTTCCTCTCACGACTCTGCCCAGGGTTTTGGTCACGCAGGTCCCCAGGGGCGAAGTTGATTGGTTCGGAGCTTCGTGTTGTACAGCTGGGGTTCGTGGACTGCAGGGGCTGCAGGAAAAGGCAGTGCTGCGTGCCACAAACTGGCTGAGTCTGCACCACATGTCTGCCACGCGCGGAAGACGAACTGCAGTCATGATGCTGCAGGACGGGATGCAAGCACAAGGCATCAACAGATCCACAATATGCCACAGAGTCGAGGATAGCCAATTGCAGCTTCGCTACGCTTGTATTTGTAAATAGCAACCGTGACCGGGACTAATTGGACATTTAAAAGATCACACGTCAATTGTCGGCTGTAAGCTCTTCTTCCTCGATCGATGCTGCTCAAGACACGCGTGCAGAGACTGCAGCCATACTGTTGTAAGCCGTTGTTGTTAATCTTTTCGCCCGATGCCCTCTACGCCTTTAGTCAAATTCCCAACATTCGGTGCGCACATCGTCAGCAGATGATTACTACGGAAGCCTTTTTTGCCTTCCCTTTTCACCCAGCCATCCCAGCCTCACTGAATTTGGAAAGGGCTGGAAGTCCAACAAGCAGCCCCAACGATCTTTAACAAGCTTGACACCGGTTGCAATTCCAGGCATAAAGTCCCAACTGCGCTTCGCCATTCCGTGGTGTGCGGCATGTGGCGCCTCGGGCGCGCTGCGACAGCGCTGGGGGCGACCCCACGCAGCTTGCGATTCCGACGCCTGGCCTTGCAGCAGGTTTTGCTCGTACGTAGTCAGCTGGGCAACGACTCCTGTCGGCTCCTGAATTTTCGAGTTTGACACACTAGTAGTTCGACGCACATTTTCTCAATTGTCCCACGCTGACGACATTATTGTGCGATGAGGGTCGGAGCGAATAGATCTGTGATTTGCTCAGCTCTGGATGAAGTGAGTGAGTGTTCACCTCGGGTGCCGGGCCTATGGAAGCGGTTCCAACGATGTTTTTGTTTTACCTCTCCGCACGCATCCTCACATTGCTGGCAGGGAGTTCAAGGCTCCAGGCCCATCGACCCGAGCCAAGGTGTGGTAAACGGGCCTGCCAAAACTGATCGCTTTACAAGCCAGCTACTTCGCAGGACAATTGCTCTCACTCGATGATCAATTTCCAAAATGTTGAGCTGCAGACCCTGGATCAGAGACGGGGCATGGGCGAGACGGGGTGGTCGACCAAACACCCGCATACGCTCCGGCAGCTGGCGTAAGCAAGAGCTCAACAAATTCCAACTAATTCCCTTGTGGCTCAGACTCAATCAGCATCCTTGGCCGAGGACTCCAGACGCTCGCGGCAGAGGAGATGTGTGTTTGGCGTGGTCAGTGTTCACTTCCTAAAATCGTACTGATTGCACTCCCAGGCGACCGAAGCTCCAAAGCCTCGGCCCAGGCCAGGGCCACAGTGAGTCTCCCAAGTAAGGGGTCCTGAAGCTTGTACAACTCCAGCACGTGTCACACAAAGGCCAGCAGCCAGACGGAAGGAGATGGTAACGGCAGGAAGGGTGAGACACGGAGTCAACTGCACTGGATGCGAATTCTTCAGTCCATCTTAAGAACTACAGGTACTGGGCGCCGCTGTAGGAGGTGCTGGAGTTGTTGGCATCCCAGCTCCGGCAAGCTGCATTGCAAAAGGACCGGATGCCCACTGATCTGAAAGTCAGGCTTACGCAGCATCGGACAGTGTCCGCGGTCCGGTCGACGAAGCTATCAAGAAGCTCACAGAAGCTTTTGAGGAGCGTTGCAAGTCTTGCATGTTGCTCCACAGCACGCCTGCAAGCTACATTTCCATCTTCGGCATCGTGACGTAAGGTTTGAACCAAGGCTGAGAGGGGAAACCCGAGTCGGAGTAGGCATGCTTTTTCACAACTGCGGTGCAGCGGGCTGGGCCCTGGTGTCTCTGGAAGGCCTTTCAACACTGTCGAAGTTTCAAGACCTCAAGCCCTGGAGTGCTTCTGAAACTAAGCCTTCTCAAGTGCCATAAGTCGCCACAGCAGGCTCGGCGCCCACAACTGTAAGTCTGAGACTTCCGTGCAGCCTCGGAAGACATCTCAGCTCCAGGGCCGGGGCGGTGCCTCGGTGCCACCCGCCCTTCGAGTGAACTTCGCTTCTTGCGAGCCGATGAAAGCAAGGAGTTGGACCTCGGGAGAGGCCAAGTTGAGGCGGCTGAAGCGGGGTGGTTGTCGTCAGCTGTTTAATCGTGCTGTTTCGCAGAACGCCGGTCCGATATCAACAGAAATCCGAATGAGTTGAATGCTCAGGGACAGAGGGACGGATCGAAAAGCGATCTTCTCGATCTGGAGGACTTCAACGACACTTCGCGCGAGTTCTTTGAGAACACGGGAGATCGGCTTCTGGGCAAGCGCCAGGAGACGCCAAGACTGTTGGAGCTTCGGGCTCCGTCAAGGCCAGTTCAGTGTGGTCCCAGGAGCCGTGGCTCCTGGACCGCCAGACCATGAAATACGATGAGATGCTCCCCACGTTGGTGCTTGACTTGGACAAGGCAGACAGCCGGCAATGCAAGCACGGGCTTCTAGCAAGCGTGCAGCTGCAAGCAGGTGATACTTCACCTTCATCACGAGAGCAAGCAGGCACTTCTGCGGTTTGGTTGTGTTACTGCAGTGATCTGGACAGCTACTCGATGATGACCTTGTCGCCCAGGGCTGGCAAGTTGTCAAGAGACCCTTCGCGGACCAGTTCTTCAAGGAGTCTCGCGGTGCAGAAGCTTCCAGCTCTAGACAGTTGCGGGATGTCGGCTTGAGGTTCAAAGGGGCGTCAGTAGCATAGCTTCTTGTCGCAAGGAGATCTGCCACTACTACGAGCTGGTTATTTTCTCTGACGATGTGTTTCCAGCTCCCGTCTGAGTGTTTATACAAGCTCGTCCTATTCATACTCGTTGCCATTGCACAGCGCAAGCTGAGCAAGCAAAAATGCTTCTTGAGGTGGCTTTGGACATTGTCTCGAAATGGAACCTTCCAGCATTTGCCTCAGCACGAGTGCCCGAAATGGTGCAGCGGTGGCGCGAGGGGCGGCAGCTCCGGGGAGGTGGTGGGGGTGGTGGCGGGCCAGGAGCAACAGCAGCAACAGCATCGGCAGTTCGCGCGACCACCAGCGAAAACAAATAGCAACATCGTAGCTTCGAGCGCAGTTGAGTTCGTAATACTGTAGAGACATGAGAGAATGCACTGTGCCAGCTCCATGACTTTGTGCAGATCTCGGGCGTTCTTCATCGAGACTTCTGCAAAAAGCTTTTGGGCAGCAAGCAGCGCAGTCAAGTCCTAAACCAGAAGGGTGGCAAAGTCAATTGCCCCTTTGGCGATGGCAATGAGGAAGCGGAACCATTTCGTGAAGGACACGTGGCTCATGTGCTGCTGCACATGAGGCTTTGCCACGCAGAATGGGGTGATGTCAATGTGCAAGGACCTTTCCAAGTTGGGGCGCAGGTTGGACAGAGCTGCTTGGACACATTGGAGCAGCAGTGGCAGCTGGGCAGTTGCAACGAAGTTGAAGGGTGAGCTGCTGTGGACCTGGACCAAGACCCTCATGATCGACCACGATCCGGCAGCTTTCCAGCTGCAGGCAGGGCGTTTGCTGGCAGGCGGCTCGTGTTGATCAATAGTATGGGTGGGTGGGTGGGTGGGTGTTTGTTCTTGCTTGTTTGTTGGTTTGTGTCGCTGCAAGGGAGCACGCCCACCCCAGCACTGGCGAAAGAAAGAGAAGCCTCAGACAGAACAAGCCAGCGCACGCTGCATGCGCAAGGGTTCAGCGGAGACGGAAGCCACCGGCACCGTTGTTCCAATTGTATATGCTCATCAATAGCCATGTGCAAGGAAACCTGATGGCCTGGGCCATCGAAGACTCAACCATCTCTGACGCGCAAACTTCAGTTGTCGTTTTGGCTAAGTCTGTTTGGCTGCACCTTATGCCAAGGTTGCCAGATACCGCTCGGTTCACGCGCATGAAGTTGGCATGCTGACAGTTAGCCATGTTGGCATCGATCCTGGCTCCCGGGAGCAACCGAGTTCGCCGTCATGGGTTCAGTACAACTCGTGGATGGGGTCACGGCGCTCCATTTAAGCACCGTGTCTTCGCTTTGCCCATGTTACCCCGGCAGGGGCAGTGGCGAAGGGACGAAGACCTGCATCAGGTCCGGTGTCAACTCGGGACGAACACGGAGTTTGCATTGCGCCTGGCCTGAGCGCAATTGCCGACCAGGGCTCCATCATGCATCGCTGAACATCACTGGCCTGCGTCCTTTGGTGGCTGTACTTCTCGACCGCGCAAAGAGCACATTTGGCCAGCGTGGGCCTGCAAGGAGTTTTGGCCCTTTCTGGGCAACAGCTTGCAGTCTTCTGTGTCTGAAAAGACATGAAGAGATTGTCATCTCCGGATGCCTCCGAAAGCTGCACTCAATACTGATCACGATCTCTCGTTGCTCGTTTTGACAGCCGTCGCGTCGTGGCTTTCTCGCTTCGGCTGCGGCAGCGCCGCGAAAGCACAGATGTGTGTGGTGTTGTCTCGCTGTGCTGTGTTCATGCTACTGGCCCGCCGGGTTGGTGAGCCTCCATTCCCTCTGGCTTTGACTGGATGTGCTGAGGGCCGGGTGCACGCTGTAGGTCCTGACCATATCTGACCATATTGCTCGTGCGCAAGAGTGTTATCAGAATGTAACCGCAAGAACGGGCAACAGCACCGATAGTGTTCATAGTATATAATACCATCAAGATAATAACCTCCAGAGCATGCCCGCCTTGTTCTACTTATGTGCCGGATTGCGCAGTTTACTTCTTCTTGAGGAAGCCCGCTGCGTTCGTTCTCCGCTGAAGGTGGTTTCAACGGGGGCTTTATGGCTGAAACCACGTGGTTGTTTTGCTATTATTGCTGCAACAACCCACAAAGAAAAGTCGAACACATTTCCCGGTCTTACGGGCAGCAGCGTAGTTATGCAAACAGAAGCTACGTACAAGCAGGGTGTAGTTGGTGAGGGAGTCACGGAGGGAGGCGCACTCAGGGAAACGTAACTAGCCAGACTCTTACCTAACAGCCTGGTCCAGCAGCTGGCTTTGGACTGGAGAGAAGGCCTGCCTAATTACTGTTCTGTACACGATGATCGATTCAATTCGACCTGCCAGCCGGCCAATGGTATCGTGATTCGGCCTTTTGATGGCGACACCAGCGACACGGCGGGGGCCTTGTGAAGCCTAAACTGCCATCCACACTCCTGAATGCCGAGGAGCTTGCAGACCTGCTAGAGTTTCTGAAGGCCGCATAGTACTCTTTTTCTGCTGGGACCAGCTCCGCAACCAAAGACACGTTGTGCCCAGTGGCAGAACTTGCTAGAGGCAGCCGCCTGCAGCCCTGCCGACCTTCGCAAGTGGTGCTGTCATCATTGGGGTGCTTTGTGATCCGGCAACCACTGTGGCAACGAACAACAGCTTGCCAGTGGTCAACTTGTGGCGTGTCAGGTTTGTGGAAAAGTATGGCGGCGGAGACGAGGACGTGGGCAGGCTTGCGGCCTAGATTCGGTTGAACCACAATGCGAGAGCTAGGCCGTCGGAGGTTTAGAGGGGGCCTAACCCAATGCTTTGGCAGAGTTAAGTTGCCATGATGTCCAACATGCGTTGCAGACTGCTGAGTGCATCGTGGCTTTGCAGCTGGCGGCAGGCGCTACCTGTTGCAGAAGCAGGAGCAGGACAAGCTCGTCGAAAGCCGCAGGTCTTTCGGCAGGCCAGGCCCGGCAGAAGCGAAGCGGCGCTGGGCCCGCTAGGCTAAAAACTCCGAATTCCAGCCAGGGCCTTTGGCAAGAATCCAGCGATCGGCGCTCCGCCTGGGCAGCCACGTACCAAGTACCAGTGCAAACTTTACTCGTTTCCTTGACAGACCTTGTCGCCCAGGTTCGGTGGCTTCGGCAACATGCGCTAGCGAGCCTTCGCGACTAAGGGCTGCAAGGCGCTCCTTTGATCTCTCTGTGTCTAAAGGCTGCGCTAGCGCAGACGCCACTGCAGGTTACGCAGCTGGCAGATGCTGGCAGCTGCGCTCGAGGCGTGCGCGCCGCTTCTGCTTCTGCCTGCAAGTTACAGTGAGGAGTTGTAGAATGTTGCAGATTTTGCCGCGCGGAAGCAAAAGTCGAGTGACATCTCGAGCACAATGTTTATGTCTCGCTTCCAAGGCCATCATCACGTGTCAACATTATCTTGGCGTGATATCATGCGCGGCACGTCGATCCTGTATGCGGAAGTCCATGCGGCTCAAGCACTTGGGCTCATCAACGATGGCTGAACGGTATCTGATCTCCAAGGCCTGCGGCTTGTGCAGAACTCAAAGACGCATGGAACAGCCCGGCATTGCTGACAACCTGCTCCTCCCTGTTTGAGGCGGAGGTGCCCGAGGG